AACCCAGGAGAGGCTGCAGCAGTAGAAGGCTTGAAATTAAGTTGCATGGATGGTTGTTCAGCCATATTCCTTCCTCCCCTGTGTACATTGTTATGGAAGCAGCAGAGGATTTCCTGCTGCGCTTCATGATTTGATCAGAACAGGCTAGTGAACCCACAGCATTTCTCCCACATGGCCCCATCGCCATGTTGCTAGTTCATTAGTTCATTATGAAATGAAAGCAAGTACTCCATGAAAATTTGTTGCAAGATGGCTTTTTGCCTTCTTTTAAGCAGTTGCCTATATTCACACTAAGGATGTGGGCCCATGCACTCAAACAAGAGATCTTTAGCTCAGATTAAAGGAATATATTAGTTGGATGGTCGCATCCAGAGGATAGTGGTCGATGGTTTAATGTCCAGACGGTGATTGGTGATGAATGGTGTCCCTCAGTGGTCTGTGTTGGGACGAGTACTGTTTAATATTTTCATCAGTGACATAGACAGTGGGAACGAGTGCACTCTCAGCAAGTTTGCAGATTACATCAAGCTGGGTGGTGCAGTTGACATGCCTGAGGGATGGCATATCATCCAGAGGGACCTGGAGAAGCTCGAGGAATCTCAGCAAGTTTGCAGATTACATCAAGCTGGGTGGTGCAGTTGACATGCCTGAGGGATGGCATATCATCCAGAGGGACCTGGAGAAGCTCGAGGAATGGGCCCACGTGAACCTCATGAGGTTCCACAAGGCCAAGCGCAGGGTCCTGCACCTGGGTAGGAGCAACTCCCGGTATCAGTACAGGCTGGGGGATGAAGGGATTGAGAGCAGCCCTGCCGAGAAGGACTTGGAGAGAAGGACTGCAGTGTACTGGTGGTTGAAAAGCTGGACATGAGGCAGCAATGTGCACTCATAGCCCAGAAGGCCAGCTGCATCCAAAGAAGCATGGCCAAATTGAGGGAGGTGATTCTGCCCCTCTACTCTGCTCTGGTGAGACCCCACCTGCAGTACTGCATCCAGCTCTGGAGCCCTCAGCACAGGAAGGACATGGGCCTGTTGGAGAAAGTTTGGGGATGGGCCACAAAAATGATCAGAGGGATGTAACAGCTCTCTTATGAGGACAAGCTGAGAGAGTTGGGATTGTTCAGCCTGGAGAAGAGAAGGCTCTGGGGAGACCTTATTGCAGCCTTCCAGTACTTCAAGGGGTCTTATAAGAAAGATGGGGACAAACTTTTTAGCAACAGGACAAGGGGTGATGTTTTTAAACTAAGAGAGGGTAGATTTTGGCTAGATACAAGAAGAAATTCTTCACTCTGGGGGTGGTGAAACACTGGAAGAGGTTGCCCAGAGAGGTGGTAGATGCCCCATCCTTGGAAACATTCAAGGTCGGGTTGGACAGGGGTCTGAGCAACCTGATCTAGTTGAAGCTGTCCCTGCTTATTACAGGGGGGTTGGAGTAGGTGACCTTCAATCGCTCCTTCCAACCCAAACTATTATATGATTCTATGAACTGCATACTACTTCCTGCATACATCATGCACAGGATGAAAAAATGCAGAGAGCTCACCTTTCCTTCCTCTCCCCAACTTACATTATGCACAGCAGCCTGTTTTTTCCTGGATTTCTTTTGCAAGGAAAAGCAAAGGAAAACCGCATTCATTTTGTCCTCCATTTCCTCTTTTATCTTTCCTATCTTTTCTCTTTGGTCACCTGAGTTTCAAACTATGTACTTCTCAAGGGAGACATTCCATTATCTATGCCACAGGACATGTTTTATTGTCTGTGGGAGAAACATCTCCCGAGAAACGTACAATCTGCTACCTGATGCCCACAACCCAACCAGAGAAGCAGGGAACAGTAGTACAGTCTGTCAGGCAGATCCATTCTCTCAGCATTCCATTTGTGAAGCTTTAGACATTCTTGGTCCACTTCTTTTTTTTAAACTCAGATTATTTTCCCCAGAAGAATTGTGTTTCTGAGCCATGAATTGGGCATTA